CTCTTCTTCTCCCTCTACCCCACACCCCCTTCTCCGTCTCTAAAAAAAAAAACAAACCAAAACAAAACAAAAACCCAAAAAATCCACAACGCAAAGTTTGGCCTCTATAAAGGAGACATGCTTTTGACAGCTGGGTATCACGGAGAGGGTACAGTCTCATAGTCAGATATGGACGCAAGTCTCACATTCCACAGAAATTTCATGAACACTGATGACCCTCAGCTTCCTTACCAGCAAAATAGGGAAAATTATTCCTACCTCTTTTGGTTGGGTAAGAAGTTTATGTGCTACACAGGGAAAGCAACTATTATATGGTAGCTGTTATTACTCCTAGTAATGTTGGCAAAAGGAGGAGGAAAAAAGCACGTATCTAAAGATCAGGCAAAATGTACTAATGTTATAACTAAGGTTCCACAAACAACTGGTGATAACTAATTTAGAGGTCTACATTTCTTTTTTGAGGGATGAATAGCCTTTTAAGAATTAAACTTGGGAATCAAAGCTATGCATTAGCAAAAAATGTCAAACTCCAAATGTCTTCCTGTTAGAGGTACAAAATGAAGGGTTTACAAGTAAAATAATATGCTGTCTAGAGTTTGCTTGAAAATACTCCAGAAAAAAAAAAGTGACTTAGATGCAAGAGGTCAGAAAAATGTTGGTAACTGTTGGACTGTGTGATATGTTATGGAAATGCATCAGGTTACCTTTTGGATTTCTACTGTGCTGGAAAACCTCTATACATTAAAGGACGAGAAAGAAAAATATTCACACCCAGGTGTTGATAACGCATCCCCAGGCCCAGCATGATGCCTGGCGTAAGACAGGCACTTATAACATCTTAAATAAAGATTTTCTTCAATAAATGGATAGACAAACAGTGTTTCTTGTATCTCCCGGGTCTTTCCCCACTGATACAGCTGTAGTATCTTCTTTGCTAGTCTATTCCTTCAGCTCTCCCCACTCCAATATATTGCACGGGGAGCAGAAGTAATGTACTTGAAGAAGAACTCCCCTCCGCTTCCAAAGGGCTGTTGAGTGCCTTGCAAATCAATCAGTGGTTTCAAGACTCCCCACTAGCCAGCTTCTCCTGGACCAACTGACCTCACGTCCATATGTACACTTACAATTCCATCTCTGTTCTATCCAGACAAATCCCACTGGCTCTAGCTTTAATGCTAGAGAGCTACTTTCTAGCTGTGTGGCCTGGAAAAACAAGCTCAACGTCTCTCAGCTTCCATTGTCACCTTAAAAATGGGTTAATATTTACCTGCTGGGGCTTATCTGTGAAGCACCCCGCACCCTGCCCACACAAGGTAGGCTCTCAGTGAGCCGTAACTTTTGTGGTCATCATTAATAAGCTCGACACGTTATTTGGAACTTTCATAATGGCCTGTCCTGCACAAACTCCTCCCTGAGTTTTATTAGCCACATCCTTCCCCTGCTTTTCTCAGATTCAACCCACTGGGTTGGGTTGTCTTGAACTTGAAGAGACTCCGTGGTGGTCATGTGCCTGCTGTAAGGTTATTCATGTGCCCCTGTGCCTTGAGGGTCATCTTGGTCTGTGGACCAAACCTGAAGGCTGGGGCTTTGTCTTGCACCTCTGAATAACTGCAAAACTGCAGAGCCTCACACACAGGGCGCACAAAGAACAACACTGTCTTTCAAACTGTCTGTATAATTCCTTCCAGTAGGGTCTTGGGAGAACTTGAAATGAGCAAGAATTTCTCCATGAGGCATTTATGAATAAAGTTATCATCTCATCAGGAGAAATTTGATCAATATCTAACCAACCTCCAGCCACCAGGGGAGTCCTGAATGAGACCTCAGAGCTGAATGTACTTTCAGTGTTTCTCCTACTTTCCTGTCTTCCTAGTTAAGTATCCTGAAGCACAGAAATAAATGTGCTGCACGCCTCAGAAGACTGGTGCCATGCCTTAGTTCAAACCAGGTTATAACCAACTTCTGCGACTACTGGCCCCATTCTGCATCTAGGGCAGGGATTCTCAACCCTCACCAGGCTCTAGGACCAACTGGGGAACCTTTAAAAAACACTTGTTTCTTAGGCCTCATGCCAAAGACACAGATTTAATTGGTCTGGAATGGAACCTGGGAATTCACATTTTTTAAAAGGTTGACTTTGAAAAAAATTGTAAGTGATCTTAATGCACAGGTGAGACGGAGAACCACCAGTCTAATGGTCCGGAGGGAAAAAAGGGTTTGTGGTGGTCTCTTTAGGTTGAACTGGAAGGCACTGGGGAGCCACGGGAAAGCTAGGAGCAGCATGGTGACACGAAGTAGAGAAAACAAAAAAACCAGTCATTATGCATCGAAAGACCAGGTTATACAGGCATTGGTATAAATAAAAGGGGTTGTCTATCCAGGCAGAGGAAGGAAACTGCGGCTGTATCCTGCGACAAGATGTCTGACAGCCAAAGGGCCACCATCAGGGATCAGCCGGACAGGATGTAAGCGGAAACCAGCCCTTGGTCTTGCCTCCATTCTCTTCTCTTTCCCATTACAGAGGCTCACGTGCTGACCTCAGCATGTTGTTAGCTTATCTGCTGTCAAGAATAAAGCTGAGTTTCCACATACTAAGCTTTATGACTTTGTTCCAGAATTCTCTTAACAATAAACGTTTCAGGGGATGCCTTCAGAAAAACGACCCACCACTATAATAATAACTATTGCATTTAATCACATGGGCTCTTTTTCTGGAAAAATAATCACCCAAAATTTCCAACAGAGGGTTATCCAAAAGTCCTGAGGCAATGATGTTTCTTTATTGCATTATGATAATAACCAGTTTTGGAGAGACTGAAGTGAAATAGCCATCCTTCATCTCCACTGGTGGAAATATAAATTGGGACAATCTTCATGGAAATTGGACACTGTGTGCTAGGAGCTTGGAAATAATGCACACTTTCTGATCTATTGCTATAGATCCATTCCTTAGAATGGACTCTAAGAAAATAATCAGAGATGTGATAATTGTATACAAGTATATCACAGAATATAGAATATATATCATATATATAACATATATATAATCATACCATGTAAGTTTGACATAAAATACTGAAAATTTAGAAGTAATCAAAATAAATTTACAACAAAAGTGACCAGTTAAATAAATTTTGGTACTTCATTAAAGCAGAATATTAAGAATCTATTAAAATTATGGCTTTCAAACTATGGAAAAAGCCCAGATGTCCACCAATAGATGAATGGATAAAGAAGATGTGGTGTGTGTGTGTATACACACACACACACACACACACACACACATACATATAATGGGATACTACTCAGCCATAAAGAAAGAAATCTTGCCATTTACAATGACGCGGACAGAACTAGAAGGTATTATTCTAAGCGAAGTAAGTCAATCAGAGAAAAACAATTATCATATGATCTCACTCATATGTGGAATTTAAAAAACAAAACAGAGGATCATAGGGGAAGAGAGGAAAAAATAAACAAGACAAAATCAGAGAGGGAGACAAGCCATAAGAGACTCTTAATCACAGGACACAAACTGAGGGTTGCTGGAGGGGTGCGGGTGGGGGGTAACAGGCTCATGGACATTAAGGATGGCACGTGATGTAATGAACACTGGGTGTTATATACAACTAATGAATTACTGAACTCTACCTCTGAAACTAAAAATACACTATATTTAATTGAATTTATATTTTAAAAAAAGAAAAAATTATGGCTTTAAACAATATTTAATATATTAGAGAGTGCGCATGGTATATTTTAAGTGAAAAATAGGATGTTACAAAGCACTTTTTACTAGAGACTTATTTTTTAAGTGTACTTTGCAAATACAAAAACATACTTGAGGGAAAATATGGTAAATATAGTTTATAGAATATAGTTTATTTTTCCCTCATATTTTTCTAGTTTCTACATTTTTAAAAATAAATATTACTTTTATGATTCTAAAAGATACAAAAAATGTTTTGTTTTCAATACATATCGTCAATGAAAAGTTTTAAAAATAATAAATGATCAGTGTTGCCCCCTTTATGAGTGAAAGGACACACATTTCTGAAAAGGTTTCTGGATCTATACCAATATTTTTTAAAGCACCAATTTTTTTATTCTCTTAAAGAAGGGCTTTTTCTGACCTCAGCTTGTCCCTCACTATTTCTCCCTTAATCCAGGCTGCTCCTAGTTGGAATGCTGACAACCACAGTCCTACAACTCCAAAACATCCGTGAGGGTGTAGTGTGCTTAGTAGAATATTCACGCTCTTACTGATCATTTCTATAAAAGGTTTCAGAGCCAAGGATCAGGAAATGAAGAAACCATTAGGTATGATGGACACTTGAGTCCCCGGGGCTCCACAGACCATCAAAGGCCACTGAGCACATAATACAGGCTCCTTCGCCCCTAGAAGCTCCCTCAGTTCTACTCTGAGATTCAGCACTAGATCCAAGGTCATCGTGAACCAGAAGGCATCCTCCCCCACCTAGGCCAAGCAATTTCAGAGGAATACGAGGACTCTGGTTCTTCTCTAGGATGGTACAGACTATTCCACGTGTCATGGACTGAAGAGACTTGGCTTGTTTTCTTCAGAGAAGACCTAAGTACTCGGCACGAGAACTGGAAGTGAATTGAGGCGTACAGGTCAACCTCCCCATGCCTGCTCTCGACAGCCCCTCCTCAAGACGCCCAGAGTAGAATCTGAGCTGCTCCTTGATCCGGCTTCAGGGTGAGCATGGCAAAGGATGAGAGGGTCAGAGCTTGTCATGCATGCCATTTGCTCCATGGCCTGAGACCCAGCGGGAGTCCTAGGCCCCCGGCAGTCCCCATCTCTAGAGCTCAAGACTGTCAGCTGGAAGGCAGCTGTTTGCTTGGGCAATTAGTTCTCCGAAGGTGCAAGGAAGCGGGTATACCCATAGTGAGCAATGGAAGTGGGTGCCACACGTCCGGCAGAGTGCCTCCCAGCACACTCAGAGCCCTGTGACACTCAGGCAGGAAATGAGACCCACCTCATAAGACGTTCTGATGAGTCTGAAGATGTCTACCTCAGGGTAGGGCTCCACGTCATCACTGAGCAGGGAGTGGAGGTGAGGGATGGGAGGCAGGGTGCTGTCTTTATTGGTCACACTGTCTAAATACCTGGACCAAGAAATGAAACAGAAGTCACCGGAGGCTAATTTGGAATTCTCCCATTACAGTTCTCTACCCGTGTTCTACAAACCCTGCATATGAAAATAAATCCTCAGCCACGGACAAAAGTGGGCATTACGATTACCATCAAGCCAATTAAGACTCATGAAACCAAGGAGAAAGACAGAAGGCAAGTTCAGAGAAGAAACCAGAGGTGGTTTACAGAGTGAGGCTTAGCGGGCACCTCAGTGGCTCAGTCAGTTAAGCATCTGACTCGTGATTTTGGCTCAGGTCATGACCTCAGGGTCATGAGATCGAGCCCGGAGGCTCCACATGGAGTCGGCTTGTCCCTCTCCCTCTGCTCCTCCCCCTGCTTGCGCACGCTCTCTCTCTCAAATAAATAAAAAAATCTTTGAAAACAGTAACAACAAAAAAAATAAAAATAAAAACAGTAACAACAACAACAAAGTGAGGCTTCATCCATTACCTTCCCAAAACAGTCATGGCCTCCCCGTCATCCTTGCAGCTCAACAGTTTGTCCACATTTGCATCCAGCACAGCCAGGGCCAACTGGAATATCACCTTGATTCCTTCATAGAAGAAACAGTCCACGACCACAACTGCACTCTCAAAGGGCATCACGCTGAGAAACAGCGTGAGGAACCAAGACAGGGAGATGGTAGAAATCACGCCCAGGTCCTGCATGCAGTCGTACAGCTGGGGGACATAGTCTCGTGCTAGTTCCTCGAAGACACCCTGGTCCACCAGTGCACCTGCAGCAGGGACAGGCACAAAAGGCCACAGGTGAACCCACCGCACCTTCTTACTGAGGAACCCCACCAATCGGCTTGGTTAAGATAACCCAGCTCACAATTGCTGCTGAGACCATTTGGCTCCTTTCTCTTAACTGTTCTGCTGCTACCATGTTACTAGTTACAATGTTACTAGACCAAGGTGTCAATATCACCCAGTCAGCAGATTAGTTCTGGGTGCTTCTCTTTCTGGAGCTTTCCTGTCCTGCTTCCCTACCACAAAAAAGAGCAATAACATACAACCATAAGGGTTGTTGGAAAAGTCAGTTTAGAAGGTTTTCGTGAGGGGCGCCTGGGTGGCTCAGTCGTTAAGCATCTGCCTTCGGCTCAGGTCATGATCCCAGGGTCCTGGGATCGAGCCCCGCATCGGGCTCCCTGCTCTGCAGGAAGCCTGCTTCTCCCTCTCCCACTCCCCCTGTTTGTGTTCCCTCTCTCGCTGTGTCTCTCTGTCAAATAAATAAATAAAATCTTTAAAAAAAAAAAAAGAAGAAGAAGAAGGAAGTTTTCAGGATATATCATTGTTTGGTTAGGCATGAAAAGTATATCTAAGTAACTCCATTTCTTGGGAAACTTACTACTTTTCTGGATGCATGGTCCCCATATATGAGGTTTTTTGTTTTGTTTTGTTTTGTCTAATGTTGTTTAAACTTGAAAGTATTCCAGGGGTACCTGGCTGGCTTAGTCGGTAAAGCATGAGACTGTTGATCTTGGGGTTGTAAGTTCGAGGCCCACACTGAATGTAGAGATTATTTAAAAAAGAAAAAAAAAATCTAAAAAAAAAAAAGGCATTCCAGTTGTACATACACACTCATAATCAACTTACTGACATTTCTGGAGAATTTTTCCAGTGAATCAAATTAGTGTGAAAAGGTTTAGAAATGAAGAGCACAAGAGGGAAGCATAAAGCATACATTTTACTACTAGCAACAAAAAGCTTGTCCTGCTAAAATGAAATGTCTAACACTTGAGAGGATGATAAGGAGTAACACCAATAATTTGTTTAAATGCTTATAGCCATTGTTTGCCTTGCAATGAAATCAGTTCTTAAAAATACTGCAGAAACTTAGTCTTGGATAAATTTTTGTATGTTCTTTTTTTTTTTTTTTTTTTTTGCATACTTCTGCTGTCCACAGATTCCATGGGCTTCATGAAAACATTTTTTGTCAAATCTGACCAATGGTCGACATGTTTGGTGCCGTCCGCACATGTTGCAGAGTGACACCTACATCGAGTGTTTCCTACAATAATTTCTCTAACAGTGATACATGTATATTCTCTCAAGCTCCATGGGGCTCCTTTGTGTACAGTCCATATTAACTCAAGCCCTCTCATTCCCATTTTGGGAAAGTGGAGTAGTCTGAAACTCTTCTGGCTAATGGTGACTAGAAATGCTGTTCTAGCCACTACCCTGGCTCTAGAAACATCTTTGCAACGAGACATGGGTTAAAATGTTAAGTACCCCCCACGTACCAACAACTCTGGTGTTGTAGTAATCAGGAAGCATGCGCTCACACAGAGCCACCAGCAGCCAGAAGGCTTCCTCCTCTTTGGCATAAAGCAGCAGTACGGATGTGACAATATTCATGGCCTAAAGCAACGAAAAAGGGTGTCATCAAATATATTTTAAATACATCAGACACACGTGAACATAAGAAATTTTGTGAACCTGAAAAATTACTGCGTTAGTCTCACAGGGCCAGCAAACGTCTTAGCAGAAGGCCAGATAATAAATACCTAAAAGCTCTGCAAGCTACACACACATGTTCTTCTAAGTTGTTTCTTTCTTTCTCTTTTTTTTTTTTAAGAACCCTTTAAAAATGTCCAAACCCTTAGTCCTTGAGCCCGGAACTGTTAAGGGTCTTCAGGAACACCAATACTCACCTCACCAAGGACTGAGTCCCTGCACACAGGCAAGCCCTCATTCAAAAACTTGGCCCAAAGGCTATCTGACAAAGCTTTTAACCTGCTAAAGTCTCAGTGTTTCTAATCCTTAATGCACAAGACAAATATTTCCTTTTTAATCTTCCATAATGGTTTCTATAACCAAGTACACACGGCCTGAGGCTCTCCTCTGAGAACAATAAAACCTTTCAAATTTGGAGTCCTCACCCACTATTTCCATCTGGATAAGGAAGGCAGAGATAAGTAACAGTAATTTAAATTCTAAAGTAACCCACTTTATTAAAAGATATTATCACTTAACTCATAACCACTCAAGGCCCAACTACTTTTAATAGTCCTCTTAATTAAAAAGAGAAAGATCAAAAGAGAAATATGAATTCTATAATTGCAGAGGCCAACTAATTCTTGTACTTCTTTTGATCTTTTACAAACCAGTAACTGTTCGTCAGACTTCTACAATATAAATACCAAAAAAAGGAATTTTGGTCTAATAGGCTTTTTCTTGTAAGTCATAATATTTGCCCAAGTAAAATCATTATTAAAATTCCACTTGAGAATTAACCTGCTGATTCTAGTACATGATCATGGTCACAGTTAGCTCCTCAGTCATTCAGTCAAGGTAAGTCGGTAACAGACTCTGGACTAAGTATTGGGGGATGGGATGGGGGAATACAGTGGTGACAAGTCCCACAGGACTTAAATGTTGATGTCAGAGAGACGGAATGAAGATGTAAAGGTTAATTAATCAATTTTGGGAGTGTATTTAAGTACTATCAAAAAGATAAAATAGGGGCGCCTGGGTGGCTCAGTCAGTTGAGCGACTGCCTTCGGCTCAGGTCATGATCCCGGAGTCCTGGGATCGAGTCCCGCATCGGGCTCCCGGCTCGGCGGGGAGCCTGCTTCTCCCTCTGACCCTCCCCCCTCTCATGCTGTTTCTCTCTCGCTCGCTCTCTAATAAATAAATAAATAAAATCTTAAAAAAAAAAAAAAAGATAAAATAATGTGGTATAGGAAGACCTGTACTGTGTGTATGTGTAGAGGAATTAAGCCTGCTTTAGCATTTATCTATCTATCTATCCACCTACCTATCTTTCCCTCTATTTATCTACTTTTGTGTTAAGCAGTCATTTAGTAAGAATTATGCCATCTTTCTGGATCTGGGGGATGTTTGAGGTATTTGTCAACATATGAAAAGTTGTCTTCCGTTGTGATTTCACTTTTTTTTTTTTTTTTTGAGTATAGTTAACACAAGTTTATACATTATGCTACATTCATCTCAAGTGTCCTGATAGATACCTTGATACATCATTATTACAGTATCACTGACTACATTCCTTATGCTCTGTCTTTTATTCCCATCACTTACTGATTCCATTACTGGAAGCCTGTATTCCCCACAAAAATACGGAATGCTTCACATATTTGCACGTCATCCTTGTGCAGGGGTCATGCTAATCTTCCCTGTATCGTTCCAATTTTAGTATATGTGCTGCCGAAGCGAGCACAAGCCTGCTTTAGCTTTTAGCTGGATGGTCGGGGAAGGCCTGTCTGAATATGTGGTCTTTAAGTCTAAAGTCACATGGTCTTAGAGCTTTCCCAATTATGGTCGATGTACTAGTACAAGAGATAATTTTTGTCGGTATGGGAGCAACATTTTTTGAATATCGGATTAAGCACTTATTTTAATGGGTATTGAAATATAATCCTAGCATATAAAAGTTATATTGTCAAGTATGTGCTTACTTAGGATGCAAAGTAGGAGCGCTGTGGAACTTAGAAGCCAGAATTACAGGCCTGGTGTCAGGCACGCTCTCTTTTACCTCGGGGAGGGATGAGGGGTAGCTCAGAGAGTAATCAGAAGTGACTTGAAGGTCACCCAGGTATGAGGTGGTGGATCCAGAAAGGGCATTCTTGTCTCCCACCTCCTCTGCTCAGTGCTGTGGTCTCAACCCAGGGAGATTTTGCTCCCCAGGGGCTATTCGGCAATGTCTAAAGACAGTTTGGCTGTCACAACCAGGGAGTTCCACTATCATTTCGTGGAGAGATGTTTTTAAATGTGGTATTAAACAGGAGTGTTATTAAACATCCTACAAAGCATAGGACAACCCCGAACAAAGAATTATCCAGCCCACAATGTCTATAGTGCCAAGGTCAAGAAACTTAGGTGCAGGGATGGTTCTGTCAACCATTCTTCTGACTTACTGGTTAATAAACAATAATAATAAAAATAATCTAAACCAGCTGTGTCATTTACCTGGCAATATCCTATGTTAGGATTTCGAAAAGCATAAGCTGTTAAGACTCTCCTTAGAGCAGCAATGCCCATTTCATTCTGGAAAGCTGGGTGTTCTGGAAGGGAGCGGTGTAAATCCCTCTCAATCTCCTCTGTGGCCAGATTATACTTCCCCATGGACTTCTCCACTAGATCTTCATAGTACCCAGGATGTGTGGCCTTCTCATTGATGGCACCTAGGAAACACCCAACAGATACAACATCCAAAGCGGCAGGCCCTGCCCTCGGTCTGCAAACACAGCTTACCAAGTGAGCCACTTGCGAGATAATGACTGCCCACAGGTGAGGTGGGCTGTTGCAACTGTGGCCAGACTTGGTAAATTTACTTGCAGCCTGCTTCCCTCTTTCAGCTCCACCGTAAGCCAAATTAGAGGTTTGCAAGCTAAAAATCTGTGTTCCATAGAACTTCCACAGACGATCCTGGGGGGCCTACTTAGAGGAAGAGGAGGAAGGAACAAGAGTAAGCCAAAGCTTCCCCGTCTCAGCCCTCCCTCAACCAGAGCAGTTTTGCTGGTATTTTATTGGGATTCTCCTTAAGATTTCACTTGAAAAAGAAAGTTCTGCCTCCCAAAAGAAATTTGAAAACTGCTTGCGAAAGCATAAGCTTTGAAGAGTTCAAAGAGCCATACTGCAGAGTAGGAGGAGGTGTTAGAATGTATGCAAGGATTTTTAGAATTGCAGTGGGTGGTGTGGGCATTCTTCACAGAGAGCACCACTATGGCTGGGAGTTCCTCAGGTGCTGGGGATGAGGATGGAGAAATGGGTTGAGAATCACTGGTTTGAGATAGTTGCATTTAAGATTCTTGAAGACAGAAAACCCTGTATGTATGAAAGTATCTAAATCTAAATCTAATTAAAATAACATGTAATTATAAATATATATACACACATATATAAAACACACATATATGTATACATATTATACACACACACACTAAATGACAGGATAAACTGATCTGTATTTCACTGATTAGAAATTAGAACCCCTGGGCTGGCCTGGACCGTGTCAATGACAGTCACCCAGAAGAGACAGCCTCACCACTCAACACTTTACCCAGGAAAAGGCAGTCTGGTTGACAGCAACCGAACACGGGCTTTTGCTTTGTTTCCAAGGGAGATCTGCAAAGATATCTTACCGTCTGGCCTGTACTTCACTGTGTACACCAAGCCAGGTCCTGGTAAAGTGGCCCTAAGAGTCACGGGGAGCTGGGCGGGACCCAGGCGGGCCTCCCCTACCAGGAGCTGGGCTCTCCCCATGGGTGAGCTGGCTTGCAACCTACCCCACGCATCCTACCCCCGGTGAGCTGGGTGGAAATAGGAGCTGTTGGCCGCTCCACCCCCTGGCCTCACATCGTCCATCACCATTAAAGAAAATACGGAGTCCAACTCTCTATGTGTCTCTGCAACAGGGCTACGTACTATCGGGTACTATTTCTTGGCTCTCACTTTGAGTTCCATTTTCATCCAAAATGGGGCTATAAGTAACTTCTAATTTGAATGAGGATGAAAATGGAATTTTTCATTTACTACAACAGTGACCTGAATCAGTTTGTCCAGGTGCCTAGTTCAACAAACACAAGGAAGACAGAAGACGGACAGTAAGGCTCTTCTTGGGCTGAATTTGTAATCAAAGATCATTGGATTCAAATTTGGATTGCTAAATTAGGAGCTAAGGCTGGTCTACTTAAGGAAAATAAGCCACGTAAATGAGGATAGAACAAGCTAGTTTTACATGAAACAGATAAAGCCAAGTATTTTTCAGGATTATATCCCCCAACTGCTGAGATGTTAATACATCTCATTATGGGCAATTAGCATTTATATCTACTTTTAGAAAGAGCTAGGAGATTGTTTGTTTGGTTTTTTTAAAATGCTTTCCTATAGGTGTGGCAACTATTCTTTTAATTTTAATGTCACTTTTAAAATAAAAGGTTTTGATAACAGCACTTGGACCATTTTTGGTTCAAATAAAAATATTCAAATAAGCTTATCTAAAATGATTACATTTCAAGCCTCTAACCAAGTAAAGCAACTGATTTATAAAGACCAGTAACACCAAAAAAATGCCCTGGATGTTCACGACAGAACAGACCCCTGGGAAACACTGGACGCTTTAGGCGGGGAGGAAGGCGTGATTGGGTCTAGCCTGAAGAACCTCTGGTCTCCAGCAGGACTCAAAAGTGTGACCCCGCCGGGCTCTGTTGGGGCATGAGCCTGGCTGTGGACCAGCGAAGGTGGGCACATCTTTCCCACAGGTCCTTGACACACCCCCTTCTGCCCTTCCTGGCGTCTCCAGCTTGGAGTGTGTGATCTAGGCCTTCAGTTCTAGTGCACATTCTGGCCTCTCCTTCACATCTCCAAGCGATAACCAGGAAATTCAGGAGGTGGCAGAAACCAGGGACGAGGCTTTCTCATTCCTCTCTCTCCCTGCCTCAATGACAGTTCTCAGCATGTGCCGCACTTCAGCATTCTCAATGAGATGTATTCTCATCATGTGTTCTCATCAATGGACACAGCCAGGAAGAGGCGAAAAAAAAAAAAAAAATCCTCCCAAATCACAAAGAATTATACTCTTTCCCTTAGGTTCTCTTTTCTCCAAAGTAGCGTTAGTGAGGGGATGGAAGAGGTTATGCGGACTTGGGGGGTGATGGCTTCAATATTTGGACAGTTGTATGTGTTCTGTGTTTTCACTGAGGAACTTCAACACTCCGGGGAGGAAAGGCGATTTAGTGCTGAACCGGAGGGCTGTATATTTTGAAAGAGCCCAGACACATGATGGAAGGCGGAAGGGGAGCGCTGAGGTCCTGCATAGTCCGGGGCCAGGACCCCCAGCCCAAGCCCGGCCATACCTGACAGCAGCAGCCAGAGCTCCCCCCGCATGCTCTCCGGGATGCCCTTCAACACCAGCTCTCGTGTTTTCTCTGTGCGGTACATGCAGATCCCTTGCCCATACTCAGCAAAGTGAATCTTCCAAGCTTGCTCCTTCAAAAACTCTTTGGCCTGAAAGGGATAATGAAACATTACTACATCCCAAAGTACTTCGAGGATGGAAAGGAGAAGTTGGATGGAAAGTCAGACTATCTCCCCTAGTGAACAGAGTGGTTATGTTCTGAACAAAACTCTTCGGAACAAGAAGTCAGATTTTCTGGAGTGCTTTCCTCATTTGACACCTGAACCTAATTTGAAGGTTGTGGTTCTGCTTTGAAGCTTTCTGGACCAGAATCAGAATTCCACTTACCTGAAATGGGTCAGCAGAATGCAAATTATATTTATGGCTTTATGTCCATACCTCCAAGTGAAAGCGAGTTGATGTTTTTTAAATGTGGGCTGAGAAATTATGTACTTACTTGTTGGCTGACTTAAACTTAACAGTTAAAAACAAGACAAAAAAAACGTCACCGTACTCTGTATAACACTCATCTCCTGTGAAGAAGCCATTCTAAAATCTTTTTTTTTTTTAAGATTTTATTTATTTATTTGACAGAGAGAGATAGCGAGAGCAGGAACACAAGCAGGGGGAGTGGGAGAGGGAGAAGCAGGCTTCCCGCGGAGCAAGGAGCCCCATGTGGGACTCGATCCCAGGACCCTGGGATCATGACCTGAGCCGAAGGCAGACGCTTAACAACTGAGCCACCCAGGCGCCCCCATTCTAAAATCTAATGAGAGATTTAGATAAAAATCTGCTTTGCTTATAGGAAAATATTTACTTACATAGATATTTATGAGTTTACTTTGATTAAAAACTATTTTTAAATGTTATTGTTCTAATATAGAAAATTTCAAGCAAGAGCAGGAGACACCCACCAATTTCGGGTTGAATTCCTCCGGAGACCGCCGCCGATACATGGTCATCAGGGTCTGTGTGGCTGTGGGAACGCTGTTGCCATTCAGGTTAAATTGGCGCTCTCCATCGGCATCGGAGCTCGTGCTTCTCTGGGGGCTGGAGGAGACGAGGCTGCTGGGCCGAGAATATACCTGCCGACGCACAGAGGAACAGATGTTGAAAGAGTGTGAGCCGCAGAATCTACTTCTTCAGTGTCCTCTGTATAGACACCAACAATACATCATGGTTCCCAACACGTTTCTTGCTTTGTGAAAACACAGGAGGAAGGCAGCAAGCCAGCGCTTCGGCGGAGATTAGACAGGTGCATGGGTCATAGACCATGAAGCTTCAATGCTCAAAACAGGTTTCCTTTTATTTTTGATGCATTTTTGCAACAAACTGGTTGGCGGTTAGTTTCCGGTTAGCACGCATGCAAAGCATGACATGGCTGAATCAACTGCTTATGGGACCGCCTCCTTATGCCCGCTCTAGCTTCTGATGCCCACATGAGCTTGGACCAGGTGGACAGGGGCAGGCATGTTCCTTGTGAGGTCACCATCTTTATATTTCAGCTGCCAGTAATTATTCTGTCACTTGAGCTGGTCACCTATTTTCCTGGGCTCTAATTTCCCTGGATGTTGGCCCAGGGCCTAATTCAAAAGGGGCACAGTACGTATTTTATCATAATAAGGTCATCATCATGACGTTGCATCTCAGATTCGAGACTTTATTTAGTGACCTCTGTACATTGCCAACAATGTCGCTATATGGACCAGAGTCCCTTGTTGAGTAAACAGGACCAATTACTTAATAATTTCTTCAACTATGAAATAGGGTTAGACAGATGATCTACAGGGCTCTGTCCAGCTCTGCAATCCCAAAGCCAACTCCATGAGATTTAAATGAGATGAGATATTGCTCTGGGCATCAGGGTAGGTGCCTTATCTTAGCAGAGCTTGAGGATCAAACAAAATGGACAAGGAGGGGACCACTCTCAGGCAGAGTACTAGGACGAATGCAAACACCCGCAGGGGGATTCCCACAGACCTCATCATCTGAACTGTTACAGCTGCCTGCAAACTCCTTGTCCGAGTATATCTTGGAGGTTGTCTGTTGCAGGAAATCGGAGATCCTCTGCACCAGAAAGTCTCTATCTTTCAAATTGGCAAATAGGAAGGTCATCCTGTTCCTGGTGCTGATGGATAAAGGACTGGGGAGTACGCTGGAGCTGTCTGCCTTTTCCACAATCGTCACCTGAAAGAAACACAAAACAAAGAACATTACTTTCCAGGGATCACCCAACAGCAGCCTCCAAGCAGCACCAAACAAGGAGCGCAACACTTTTACATTGTGTAGAAACACCCATATCTTACTGAGGCAAGAATGAGATTCTCTGACTCTGTTCCGATAAAAGAGCTAACAACTCAAACTGGAGCTCATATCAGAAGCTGGAATGACGGTGCTGGTCTTTCTAAATCAGCAGTTCTACACTGGGAGTAATTTTGCTCCCCCGGAGACATCCAGCAACATCTAGAGGCATTTCCGGTTGTCACGAGCGGAGGGTACCAGGGGCATCTAGCAGGTGGAAGCCAGGGATGCCGCTCACCAGCGTGCAATGCACAAGACAGCTGATCCCCGACAAAGTCTGGCCCACGATATCAACAGGACCAAGGTTTAGAAAACTCGTTGTGAAGAAACTCCCTGATTTTCTTTAAAATTCCACAAGTCCTAAAGGAAAGGACTCCTCGTTGCTGCATCATCCCTAAGAGACAGAAACAACCCGTGATACTTGTGCCTTTTTACCAAGCTTAAGGTTGGGATGGTTTTCAAAACCTCACCCATCTTTCAAACATCTCCTTCGAATTCCAGGGCTTTGCAACCCTCTCCTTTTACCACCTGGACGTTTTAAAGGCTCAATTCCGAACACACATGATGTAAACAGCTTAATGGCAGCCCCATCTGCACTGGAGGACCGTGTGCGCAGGTGTGCACGTGCGTGTGGTGAAGTAAATCTACCACATCAGGTAGGTAGACGAGCAGGAAAGAAGGACATTTGTTTTAGCTCTGAACTGAAGACATATTTGGGGCTTTATAATAGGATTTTCATCAACTGGAAACTAGGATAAAGGCATAAAAATATTTTTCTTTAGCACAGTAGGAAAAAAAAAACTCTCAAGGCAAGCCCTAGATAAATGGTTTACTTGCAGCAGCTCTGACTATATCCTTAAAGTTCAGTTTCTCTTCTCTTCATTTCCACCTATAAGCAGTCTGGACGGGTTCAACTTTAACCTCTTCATCAACATTTTCATACGAAATACATTGTCTCCAAAGCAGAATTTTAAAACCTTTTTCCCCTTCAAGGCTATGGAACCTGACTAGGAGATGCCTGAAAAGCTGAATGGCCCCAAATCCAAAATGCGGACAACTGGGATCCAAAGAGGGAAAACTGCAGGACCTGACTTCTGCTCTCATGTTTTATCAGCACATATAGTTAGATATATATTTCTATATATTTTTTTAAATTTTTTAAAAAAGATTTTATTTATTTATTTGATAGAGAGTGAGTGTGTGGGAGGCAGAGGGAGAGTCTTAGGGAGACTTTGCGCTGAGCTCAGAGCCTGACATGGGGCTTGATCCCACGACCCCAAAACCATGACCTGAGCCGAAACCAAGAGTTGAACACTTAACCGACTGAGCCACCCATGTACCCCTATATATATACTTTTAAAGGAATCCCCTGAGGTACTTGGAGTTGTACATAAGAGTGTTTTTTTTAAAAAAAAAAAAAAAGGTTTTTTTCCTAATGCAAAAAAAGCTGGAGAAATGGGAAAAAATTTTCTTTATCATCAAAAGGATTTTCCCATGGCATTTAAAACATGCTAAACGATACCTAAGTTTAAAAGACCTATAAAAACTCCTTCTCTCAAAACAATTTTTTTCTGATTCTTTTGGTCACCAGATGTCTCAGACCAAATGCCAAATGCCAAGGGAACTAAAGGTTCAAGCTCCATACCTAAAACCCATATGGCCATGTGGATCTTGATGAGGTCAAAGTGGAAAGTCCTTTAGCTAGATCATTAATACAGAAACAACCAGAAAGCTCCCATATAAAACATATGAATGCTCCCATGCACCACAAAATATTTTTTGCTGACAAATTATTTCTGGTAGAATCTGATCCCATAAGCTTTGTGATACAGACAAAGGGTAACAGCAACATTTGAGTATTCTAGTTTAATGAGACACATTTCACTACCAACTTGGGTTATAAAAATAGACAGGAATTTAATCAAAACTTGATGTTTAATATGTAATATCTGCTAGGTAATTTATGATTAAAAAAAAAGAGAGAGACTTTATCTGTAATCTCTATCTAATGAGGAACCTGATGGGTTCACTTTATCTCCCTGCTTTGCTGCCTCAGGAATTTTTTCAAAATCTGTAGTAACATGATTCTGTGTCTATTTGATCTACCTTAAGTCTATCTGTGGTATATATGTTAACAATCTCCAGTCAGTATTTTAGCTGATTTATAAAAAATGAAATGAAACAATTCCTAGTTTATATAATCCTCAAGTGGCCATTTCAATTAGGATGTAATGTTCCCATGGAGACTGCTGCTCATCAATCAGCTTAAGTCAGTTCTGAAAGGTACGCAGTTCATGGATGGACCCCTCTCTACTCAGAAAGACCCCCTGTAAGTGGGGGGAAGGGAGGGTGGTGGCCCACTGCTTTTCTGTCGTTAAGGTAATGTAAAGGTTGTAAAAATTACAGAGTCCTTTGCTTCTTCCATTCGTTGGGATTAGGGATCTATCATTCATATAGCTTGGAGATTCATCAGGTTAAAGGAAGGGCACTGCTGCCTTCTTTATAAAGTTGCATCCACCGGGGCGCCTGGGTGGCTCAGTCGGTTAAGCATCTGCCTTCGGCTCAGGTCATGGTCCCAGGGTCCTGGGATCGAGCCCCTCAGCAGGCTCCCTGCTCAGCGGGAAGCCTGCTTCTCCCTCTCCCACTCTCCCTGCTGTGTTCCCTCTCTGGCTGTGTCTCTCTCTGTCAAATAAATAAATAAAATCTTAAAAAAAAAAAAAATTTCATCCACCAACATAACATGCTTTATTTCTCGATGCTACTACCTCAACTATTGTTCCTCCTCTGACTTACCCTGGAATATGACTGAATGATCGCCGCTCTACCAGCCGTTAGGAAAAGCCAGCAAGCCAATGACGGGCTGAGAACATCAATCCCCGTTCTCTCAGTTGCCCTGAACTCCCACTATTGTACCGTATACTGCACTGAAAGGTGAGGAGAGGCAGCGGGATGTGGTGAACAGGGGAGCAGACATCTTGACCCCTCCCCACTCCTTATCTCCATTTGGATAAACAGAGTGATGATTTGCTCAGATTCATCAATGCACATCCTTAATCCTGGAATGGGTTGCCCTAGCTGTTGCAGGTAACTTGCTTTTGGGTCATACTTGATGAAGAAATTTAGAAATGAAGAAAATTAGGTTTAGTAATAGTCTATGGCAAAGAAGGTACATTTGCTGGAAAAAGTTATGAAATCCATTCCAGAGCCAAATGTAAGTGATTGTCAAATTATCGAATTATCCACCTCAGAATTCAACCCCACCACATATCACCTCAAATGGTGTTGTAACACCAGTTTGTTCATATTAAAATAGGACCAGATTTGTCAATTGCCTAACATTTTGCATTCTTTTTGATCCACCCACTCAGCTTCTAGGAATTTATAATTCATACTTTAAGGAAAATTATACATATAATTGGAAGAAAACTAAAAACAATGCAACGGTCCAACCACAGGTAACTGAATAAATTTTATAGATCCAGTTAATGGAATAATATGCAGTCATTAAAAATGATACTATCAAAGAGCATTTAATGATATGGGGGAAGTTTAATATACACTCCGTGTTGAAGGAAGTAAGCAAAAAATAAAAATTCCCTATGTTTTATATCTAAGTAATATAAATGACATAAACACAGTGAAGTATAGAAAAAACCTAGAAAGCTGTACAGCAGAATAACGGGGGCTATCTTTGACTGGTGGGACTAAGGATGAATTTTTTTTTTTTTAAGATTTTATTTATTTATAAAATGACAGAGAGAGAGACAGCGAGAAAGGCACCCCTAAATGTTTTCTTTTTATTTGTCTGTACATTCACAAATTCTCTGTGATAATGGTGAATTATTCTTAAAACAATAGAAAAACAGGGGCGCCTGGGTGGCTCAGTCGTTAAGCGTCTGCCTTCAGCTCAGGTTATGATCCCAGGGTCCTGGGATCAAGCCCCACATCAGGCTCCCTGCCCAGCAGGAAGCCTGCTTCTCCCTCTCCCACTCCCCCTGCTTGTGTTCCTTCTCTCGCTGTGTCTCTCTCTGTCAAATAAATAAATAAAATCTTAAAAAAAATCTGCTCATATAAATGATCTCTTTAAAAAAGAAAAGAAGGCAGAGGGATACTTGAATCCTTTACTCTAGGGAATAACAAAGAGTCAATCTTAATTACATAACCAAAGTTTCTAACCACCTTAACTTCTAGAAAAGGACCAGGGCAGGTTGAAAGTGGTCGCTGGGACTAGAAACGAAACCATAAGACTTCTAGCCCCCAGGAGCCTAACCTGGAGTTCCTCCTCAACTCTGAACCTCAAGGCAAGGTCTCCACACAAGTACCAGAACCACCTAGCACTGTGGAGACAGGACAGAAGCCACCTCCTCCCCAAAAACAGTAAGAATGTGTAGAGGGTAGGAATGCACAATGTCTTCATTTTGCACGAGAAATCAGCCTGGGACTCTATTAGAATACAGATTCCAAAACTTGCAGAGATTCAAAAAATGTGGGACAGGCTCAAGAATCTGCCTCTGTGGCCAGCAGTGCGGTGGTTCTATTCCTGGTAACCGGCAGACCAGATCTAACATTTGGCCTTCCAATTCACAATCCAGACTGTTTCCTTGGGACCAAGCTGCTCTCAGGCTGTGAGCAGGTGTAATAACTACATTTTCTAGTTTCTGTATTTGAGGCTTGGACATCCCGGGCCTTGCTGACCCTGGCAGGGCCACCCTCCCAGAGTTAGCCAACTCCAAGAGATAATAAAGGACTCACCTGGGAGCAGGCCATTCCTATGCAAACCAAGCATGCAGAACCCGCCACACTGCCCTCACCTCCTTAATCCAATTCCACACTCAGGGTCAATTATCCTTGTTCTAGTCACCCGGGGGGGGGGGGGTGGTCAGATACCAGATAGCTAGGGACAGCCCCTATGCCCCAGAGCCTGCTGAAATTATTCCAACTAGCCCATCCAAAACCTGCTTCCCCTGCCTCGCCTGTTTCTTCACAAAGAAATCACAATAAAGGCTCCTGCCCCCATTTCCTGACTCCCTGTGCCTATGGACCAATCGTGGTGCTTCCCCAATGTGCCCCCATGGCTTCTCCCAGAAGGATGGTGAGTACAACAAGCTCTCCTTCCAGTGGCAGCCACTTCCTGATGTGTTGGCCTCACCACACCTGAATAATAGTAAAATCTCCATTTTAAAATTCTAAGCTGGAGGCGCCTGGGTGGCTCAGTCGGTTAAGCGTCTGCCTTCAGCTCAGGTCGTGATCCTGGAGTCCTGGGATCGAGTCCCACATCGGGCTCCCTGCTCAGCATAGAGTCTGCTTCTCCCTCTCCTCCTGCCCCTCCCCACTGCTCATGCTCCCTCTCACACTCTCTCAAAGAAATAAATAAAATCTTTTAAAAAACCCCCAAAACTCTAGGCTGCCTTTTCTAGGAAGAAAAGCTCTTTCAGGTCACCGAGAGCAATAACAACACACAAAAGGGGGTGGCCGGGGACACGAAAGAATTATGAACATTCACCGATGGTTAAACACCAACGAAATGCTGGTAAAAAACATCTGTGGTTCACACAGAAAAGTATTACAAAGGAAACTCTTAGAATATCCATTTTCACCTGACACCTACCTCACGGAGTGGGATGATGAGGCTACACAGGTTCTCCCCCTTGCTGGTAAAGCAGATGTAATTCGTGGACACAAACATCTGCCCCAAAATGTGCATTTTGTTGAATGGAGTCCAGAGAGTGCAGTCTGTGTGGCCGTCTAGTTTTTCATCTTTGGGCAGCCGGAAAAGTGCACGGTATCTCTCACTCTTTGCCCTGGCGTCGAGATCGCTGGAAGGCGATAACAGCGTCACCTCACGCAAGAGCAACGTTTCAATAGCGTCTAAAGGATGCAGCAGGGGAGGTCCCCCGGCCCATCTCTCTGCGCCTCCATCCTGTCAGACTCATCCCCACCTTCTTGGCTTTCTGTTGGAGCTAACTCCAACCTATGACCCAGAAGCACAATATAATTATTTTAATATATTTAGGTCCCTTGGGCAGTCATTTTACCATCAGTATCTGTAAATGTTAAAGAATCTCAGGAAAACTAGGCCTGGATGGGAAACCCGCTCTTTTTCTAAAGGAATACAATAATTTCTAAAGAGATTATTACATTCACACTTCTCCAGAGCCACTTTGGAGGCCTTATCTCTTAAGAAAGATCTGATGAAAATGCAAACAAGCCTCATGAATCTGGCCATCACTGTCTGCCCTAAAAAGACAACAAAATTGCCTGAAACCCAGGAACAATCCACCTCTTGGACAACGAGAGTTTCCGACCTCAGCTCGGTTTTTGTTTTGTTTTTTTTTTTGTCCTTTTTCCTGTTTATCAAGTCAGTTGCTCAAACCTCTCCCCTCAAGCTCCTATGCCACCTCAGCCCCCGGGTGGTTGAGTTTCTAGGAGCTCCCCCCCACCCATACCCTCCCTTTTACCTCCAACTTTCCTCCATTCTCACCCACTCTTACTTCCTTTCCATTTCAGAGGGAGAGGTATCAGCACACGCAAGCAACTTTTTCCATGCCCTATGAGATGTCATTTCTAAAATGACTGGTTTCCTTATAGCTTTAGCTCCGTGCTCCCTCCTTCTCTGCATCTCCCGTCACCACAAACCCTTCCCCTTCCATCCGATATTCAAATCTTCTACATTCTAAGAGCAATCCCTCCTTCTTTCCTACTGAATTTCTTGAAAGAGCAGTCTACACTTGCCTATATCCCGTTCCTTGCCTTTCACTTGTGATTCAGTGCACTGCAGTAACCCCATTCACCTTCAACCGCTCTACTGAAACACGCCTCAAATCCCCGGACATCTTAATCGCAGTGATCTTTTGTCAGGTTCCAAGTACCAGCTGTATGCCAGGGATTTCCAATTCCATGTATGTTACCGGACCGATCTTCAATGTGATGCTCTGCAGACAACTCAACTCAACATGATCAAAACTGAGCTGGCACATCCCTTGGACATGCTCTCCCTCTCTCACTCCCCATCTCAGTTCTGGACAATTCCATGCATACATTCACACTTGAGAGCCTCACCTTTTTCCTCGCCCTCTCTCTAGCTCCAGTCCCACATCCAGACTTCCAGGCTTTTCTGCAGCCTCTCCTCATCACATGCCTCACCACTTTCCAGACATTGATGGACTTAATCCCCTCTGCGCTTTTCCCTTGTGATTCCCGCACCATGTTATTCCCTCTGCCTGAAATATCCATCCTACTGAATCTGTATGGGTAACTTCTACTACCTCTTGAGAGTCCACTCCAAGCAGCATCCCCTGAGGGCCTTTCCCACCACCCTGCCCCATTTCCCCATAGCACCCGCCCATAGGCACCCCGCCCCTAGGACCAGAAGAGTTCCCATCACTTGGTGTCAGAGCTGGCCATGTCACTCACTGACCTTTGAGTGCTTCAGTCTTTTTCAGTTCTGCATCTATACCCAGAAAAGCGTTCAGAACCCTTGAAGAGGTTCAGAAAAAGTCACACTTCATAAATGAATGTAAGGGTTTCTTGTTTCTAAAGTGTGTAAGACTCTGTCTCTGTCACCTACCGTTTTAGAGCCGACACTTTTTTAGGAGACTTCTTTTTCAGTTTGGGCAAGGATCTGTCCTGTTCAAATCCCTCATTGTCTAAGAGTTGCCTCATGGCTATGTTAGCGAGCTGCTCCATTAACTTGAAGGTCTCATTGATGTTGAGAAATACAGAGAAGAAATGTTCACTGGACCTCGTGCTCACTTTGATCACATCAGGCAGAAGCAGCGTGGCGTTCTTCTCAAGCTGTGTGATGTCCACCCACCGGATCACCAGCTTGGCTGAGCACAGGGAACAAGCTGGTGAGCACCTGGCTCCTTAAAATCCCCAAAGGATCCTTCAGTCTCACAACCCAGCCCCCAGTTTTGCTGAACTCCTTGGAGTTTGCATGCCCCATATTTATTACTGTTTTGTTTGTTTCAGAGACAAATTCAGACCCCGTAAATTCTGAAGTCATCATTATTATGGATTGAAGTCCATGTCAACGACATTTATGATAGCTCTGGAGAACTTTTATTACTTAATAACCTTTTTTTTTTTTTTAATAATGAAAATAATTGCCTTCACTTGTTCGGTAGTTAAAACACAGTGTAGACCAAGTCATCACTACAGATCTATTTTTGGCATTTTGATGTGGTTTATGAGTTTGGGGCAAACTCTCAACAGACTTTCCCAAGCTTCCCTCTGAAATTCTAGACAACTCACCTTCCCTTCCCATAAGGAAAGAATAAAAGCAAAGGTGGTTAATACTGAGGTACATCCAACCCTGACGGGGGACCTTCCCCTTCCAGTAGCTGCAAGAGTAATAGTTGACGAGCTTCTCTTCCTCGGGCATCCCGAACAGCCTGTGGAATTTCACAATGGCCTCCTTAAACTTCTCCGTGTCATCATCTTCCTTCACATCATTGATCTTGTTATACTCTGCAATGATGCCCTACAGCAAGGAGAAAACGAGGCACACGATGAATATTAATAAGACTAGGGCTGTTTGGGGGCATCTGGGTGGCTCAGGCGTTAAGCGTCTGCCTTCAGCTCAGGTCATGATCCCAAGGTCCTGGGATCGAGCCCCACATTGGGCTCCCTGCTCCATGGGAAGCCTGCTTCTCCCTCTCCCACTCCCCCTGCTTATGTTCCTTCTCTCGCTGTGTCTCTCTCTCTCTGTCAAATAAATAAATAAAATCTTTAAAAAAAAAAAAAGACTAGGGCTGCTTTTTTCTGCATGCTGTAAATGCTGGAGAGGAAAAAACCAATTTCTAATGCTAGAATTTTTTTTTAATTGATACATTATTTTTCAAGGGCAGCGCCCCAATTCTAAGCCTGTTACTGAGGAGCACTTGTGTACTAAAAGATCTTCAAATAACAATATTGATTTGATTATCTGTTTATTGGTGCTAATCATTTTAAGAAGTTCATTTAGAATGAAGCCCATGGTTTTATTCCACAAATGAGGAGATGTAACGATTTCGCAAATTCTACTGCTTTTCTTAGCTCATCATGATAAAGTCACCCCAAAGGTCAGTTTCTGCTTTTCTCAAGATTACTACTTCATTAAGAGAACAGAGATGGCTGGCTTTCATGGAAACCAGAGGAGATCCATTTGGAACCGAGGCTAATCCAGGAATGAGCAGGCTTTGGTAGAGTGCTGCATTAGGGAACTTCAGACAACCACGAGGTTGCATGATGGCACTGGACCTCTGGGTAGGGAGAAGTAGCCAGTTCAGAAGAAGGATGGAAAAACCTTTCCCAGTTGGCAAATATACCTACAGCTTATGTGACATTTCAAAATTATCAATGCCTTTAGAGTGGGATCAAATACATATATATATATGAAATGAATGAATAAATATAACTGACCGAGTGGGAAACCACTAGTAAGTAGTAGCAGTTGGGTTTCTAGGCAACCCCAATGGCCAATCAACTTAGCGTAAGCCTGGAGACCCTCAAGTGGGCTAATACCTTTCCCCTGGACCACTTAGCAGGGCTCTGACCTAAAGTCAGAGTAAGGAGAATACTAGAAGGGAGTGATGTATAACAAAGCAAATGATACCCATGTTTTGAGTGGAAAAACATTCAAACAGCATTATTCCAAATCTACTAAATAGCATACTTCTAGAATGCTCATCCAAGTTTAAAAAACAAGATATTTCTTTTTTTTATTATTTATTTATTTATTTATTTATTTATTTATTTGACAGAGAGACAGCGAGAGAGGGAACACAAGCAGGAGGAGTGGGAGGCTGAGCAGGGAGCCTGATGCGGGACTCGATCCCAGGACCCCAGGATCATGACTTGAGCCGAAGGCAGACGCTTAACGACTGAGCCACCCAGGCACCCAAATACAAGATATTTCTAATATGAGAGAATTTATGAGGATATGGAACTAAGAAACAACACTCTGGAACACTCCAGGGCCTAGTACATAACATCAACAGACCAGGCCTTGCCAACTAATTTCAGCAGTAAAGTCCCCATAGGGTTCAACTCCCAACTTCCCCACCTTTAAGGGAGAGGATCCAGAAATGCAGAACCTCTCCTTAGTTTGCTTGTAATTTCTTAGCCAGGTGGATAATGGAACAAAGGGATGGCACGTCTCCTTCTTTTATGTTCTACAGGTTCTACATGATATAAAATGGGTTATCCTGGTTCCAGACAACAACTTCACCTAACTGAAAAATTACTACAATCCAAATATTTGGGATGCCCAATATAAATTTAAACACACAAACGACATTGACACAGAATTCACAAAAAGGAAAACTAACTTAGCTAACATGAAAAAATGTTTAACCTCATAATCAAAGATAGAAAATTAAAACAGTACGATCCCATCTTTTACCTATTAAGCGTGGAAAACGATTTAAACCAACCAGAATACTGAAAAGTGGTATAATTGCACAGGGATTCTAATATACTGACAATCTCTACTAAGTTCCATGAAAAATGTGTAAACTAACTCAGTAATCAACATTTTGTAATTTGTAATCTATCCCAAAGGAATGAAACAAAAACTATAGGAGACCTTATATGAACAAGTGTTCACTGTATTGTATTACTCTTTGTGCCTGTCCGCGTTGGTCTAGAAGCTAAGGGACTTCTAGAAAGAGAGGAATGGTGAGGTCAATAGTGGGATTTATTCCATTATTAAAATAACTAAAAATTATATAACAATACCAGTCAAGGAAACAAAGACGTGATACAAAATTATATGCACAGTAAGACTACTATTATGATAAAATGCACTCCAGAAATCTAGAAAGAAATACACAAAATGTGATCTATGGGTTTGGATTATGGTTGCCTCTGTAGTTAATGATTACATTTATAATTTATAGAAGTTAATTAAATCTCAAAACAAATAAATTTGTTGGTTCCCTTCATTATTGGACAACTGGGAATGCTTAAAGCATTCATTTGCACATGAATGACATTCTTTCACACATAATTGCATTAATAGCAATTCCTTCCTCATAATTGGTTTCAGGGGAATTAAATGTGACATTTTTGGTATAATGGAAACAGTGAGAAGAATGGCTATTTGACATAATTGTCCTTGTTTTATTTTCTGGGTTTTTTTGTATGCTTGTTTTTGTTTTCCTCCTGGCTATTGTCACTTCTAAGCAATTTGTATCTATTGCCCAAAGACGGCACCATCTGAGGGAGGACTAGCAACACCTAACTGGGGACGTCAGTAATGGCTCCTGCATGGGGACGAGGCCTCACGCCCATCCCCGCACCAGTCAGCTGCCCCCTGCAATACGGTCAAATGACTGTCAAATGAGGAACCTCACACTCTCTCCGTTTCCATTACTTCCCAGAAATTCAGCCATTACTTCCCAGAAATTCAGACACGTGACTCAGAAATGAAATGAAGAAGTTATAAAATCAGATGGGTTTTATCAATAAAACAACTCTCAGTTATTTGAGAACACTCTTTTTGTTTGGAAGCTCCTCCCAACTTCAAACTGACCCTGCCCAACATCTTCCCTGCTCCCATTTTTACCCTCTTCACTACCTGTCTAGTTTCTTTAATTATGACCACAGAGTAAAAACTGAAATCAGCCATCCTGAAGCAGTGAAAAATATCCATCTTGAGGGGCAAAGGGTGGGAGAAAGGAAGAGGCTGATATATGTGCTTTTGTGCTGTTCAGCCCTCCCTAATTTTATGTGGTCCAGTTAAAATTCAGTTCTCTCCCTCAAAAATATCAGACCCTAAAAACCAATGATATTCCACTTCTTTTTCTGATTATAAAACTACTACTTGTTCCTGTAAAAGTTTAGTGAAAGAGAAGAAATTGACCATTCTGTGTAATTTTAATGAGAAGTGAACTATCAGATCACTTCCTAGAATTCTTCCTTAACCTGGGGGTAAAGAAAGGCTTTCTAACGATGACTAAAAATTTGGAAAGAATTCGTAATTTTGACTAAGTAAAACATTTAAATGTTCCATGGCAAAAACTATCATGAGCAAAGTCAAAAGACAAATGACAAACTTAGGGAAAATATCTATGATATATATTACCGATAAAAGGCTAATGGCCTTTATATAAAAGAACTTTTAAGAATTAAAGAAAAATAAGACCAAAAGTCCCATAGAAAAATAAGTGAAAGACATGAGCAGAGAATCTAGAGAGATATAAAAATGCTCATTAAACATTTAAAAAGATGTTCAACTTCACTCACAAGTGAGATAAATGCAAATTAAAACACTAAAATATTTTCCCATCAGATTGGCAAAAACTCAAAAGCTTGATAATCTGCTTTCTTGGTGAAGCTGTGGGAAAACAGGCATTCCCATACACGCCAGTGGGAATGTAAACTGGTACAACTCCTGTGTGTGTGTTGGCGGGCCGGGGGGGCATTTGGCAATATGAAGCAAAATGACACATGCATTTACCCCTTGACTCGGCAGTACCACTTCTACCAGTTTATCTTAAAGATAGATCCCCACAATACAAACACACACACACACACATAGCCATGTATATTATTATATGTATGAATTATAATTGTATGTACAATTATAATTGTATATTATATGTTTGTGTGCATGTGTGTGTGTGTGCATATATATATTTATAATTGCAAAATATTGGAAACTACTTAAATGTCCAAGGGTAGAAGAGGGCTGATTTCTCTACAGTACATACACACATAATATGCACCTATTAAAAAGAATCAGGCACTAAATGCAATGTGGGATCCTGGATTGGATCATGGAATAAAAAAAGACATGAAGTGGAAAAACTGGTAAAATCCAAATAAAGTCTATAGTTAACAATATTTTTTTTTCTAAAGATTTATTTATTGGGGCGCCTGGGTGGCTGTTGGTTAAGCGTCTGTCATGATCCCAGGGTCCTGGGTTTGAGCCCCGCATCAGGCTCCTTGCTCAGCAGGAAGCTTGCTTCTCCCCCTACCTGCTGCTCCCCCTGCTTGTGCTCTCTCTTTCTCTCTGACAAATAAAGAAAATCTTTAAAAAAAAAAAAAAAAAGATTATCTATTTGAGAGAGAGTGAGTGCGTGTGCAAGAAAGGGTGAGCAGGGGGAGGGTCAGAGGGAGAGGGAGACAATCTCAAGCAGACTCCACACTGAGTGTGGAGCTTGATGCGGGCTCGATCTCATGACCCATGAGATCATGACCTGAGCCAAAACCAAGCATTAGATGTTTAACTGACTGAGCCACCCAGGTGGCCCTGTAGTTAACAATATTGCATTAATGTTCATTTCTTAGCTTTGATAAATATACTATGGTTACAGAAGATATTAGTATTAATGGGAGCTGAGTGATATGGTCTATGGGAATTCTCTGTCCTATCTTTTATAGTTCTTCTGTAAATCTAAAAATTAATATTTCAAAAAAAAAAACCAAACTACTAAAATGTTTCTTAAAAAATAAACACAACAGGGCGCCTGGGTGGCTCAGTTGGTCAAGCGACTGCCTTCAGCTCAGGTCATGATCCCAGGGTCCTGGGATCGAGTCCCACATCGGGCTCCCTGCTCTGCGGGAAGCCTGCTTCTCCCTCTCCCACTCCCCCTGCTTGTGTTCCCTCGCTCGCTGTGTCTCTCTCTGTCAAATAAATAAATAAATAAATAAATAGAAATTGCAACTTGATTTAAAAAAAATAAAAAATAAAATAAATAAATAAACACAACATGTAGATACTCTCTATGAACTGATATGAAGTATTACCCAAGAGTTATTGAGTGAAAAGAGCAAATGCAGAGGAGCATAAGTACATGAAGACTGAGGTATAAGAATTAGAGAAAAATAAGAAAAATACACATATCTGCCTCTTTTTACAAAAAGAAACACAGGAAGGATAGACCAGATAACAAGGAAGTTGGTTAACTACAAAAAGTTGGGGAGAACAGGGTAGCAAGGATGTAGAAGGGAGTAACACTTTGGGAAATTTAAACTTTTGGAAGCATGTTATTATTTTCTGCATGTAAAAAATAAAATTAAACTAACAATGCAGCAAAGAAGAAAGGGCCTGAAACAAAGCAAACTGAAACAAAGGGCTGATTCTAGGACTGGGACAGAGAAATTACAAGATGAGTCTGGGACATGGGGACACCTGGGTGGCTCAGTGGGTTAAGCGTCTGCCTTCAGCTCAGGTCATGATCCCAGGGTCCTGGGATTGAACCCCGCATCCGGCTCTCTGCTCAGCGGAGAACCTGCTTCTCCTTCTCCCTCTGCCTGCCACTCTGCCAACTTGTGCCCTCTCTTATCTTTCTGTCAAATAAATAAATAAAATATTTTTAAAAAAAAGAAAGAAAGAAAATTTCAAATTGTTTATTATTGGAAAAGGCAAAATTAGTCACTCTACAGTGGAGAACCTGGGTAGGTAACACCTTGCTGGGTCTATCACCCATGAGGGGAGATATCATGTGCCTCCAGAAATGATACTCTTAAAAGGATGTAAGATTATGTATGAAGTGCTCCACCTGGGCATGCATAATCAGAATCAAATCCTAGGAAACATCTGACAAAACCCAAGACGAAAAAATGTCCCGTTAAAAAAAACAGAACCGCATACTTAAAAACATGAATGTCATCGGGGCGTCTGGGTGGCTCAGTCATTAATCATCTGCCTTTGGCTCAGGTCATGATCCCAGGGTCCTGGGATCGAGCCCCGCATCGGGCTCCCTGCTCCACGGGAAGCCTGCTTCTCCCTCTCCCACTCCCCCTGCTTGTGTTCCCTCTCTCACTCTCTTTATCTCTCTCTCTCTGTCAAAAAATAAATAAAATCTTAAAAAAAAACCAACAACAAACATGAATGTCATAAAAGACAAAGAAAGGCTATAGAAACGTTCTAGATTGAAGGAGACAAGAGATGAAAACCAATTCAATTGCTTCCCAGACTGGATCCTGCGCTGGACTGAAAGGGAAAAAACGCTAGACAAGACTGGAATATGTGCCAAATATTAAAGTATAATGTTAATGTTAAATTTACTGAAGGTGATAACTGCAGTGTTATTATTTAACAGAATATTCTTAGAAATACACACTGAAGTATATGGGGGGAAATTCCACTCAAATAGAAAGTAAATGAGCACTCAAATGATAATGTAAATGGGGTAAAATGTTAACAATAAGAGAATATGCAAAAGGTCTACTACAGGCTCTTATTTTTTCAACTTTTCTGTAAGTTTGAAATTGTTTCCAATTAAAAGTTAAAGCAAAACAAAGCAAATGACCCACTACCTGTATTTTTCCTCTCACAAATGTGGTGATATCATTCTCGTTTTCAAAGATGGAGAGTGTCTGCAGTAGATTCTGCTCAAGCCATTCCCAGTGTTCGGTGATTTCTTTTCTGGAACCGCCTGTATGGACAGTAAGATGATAAAAAAAATAATAAAATTTTGGGAATTTAAAAGATACTTAAACAGGTTCACTTCATCAGTGTCACTAAAGGAGACCACTGTCCCAACAGCTCTGCCTTTAAATGTTTTCTTCCCTTCAGATGAAACACAGAAGACACCTAAAGATATGGAAACCTGAGAGTAAGCACTGATCAGGTGGGTTCAGAAACTCTCCTAACACTGTCTCCAGTAGAAGTTAGCAACATTTCTCCCACTCAGGTCTCTGGATTGGGACTTGAGCACAACCCTCTGCTTGCCTCCCTCCTAGAACCTGCACTTCACAGGGTAACCTAGATCTTGTTAGGATACTAGGTTACAGTTGTTAAGTTGCAATGATTTGAGAGCTTTCGTATGCCCCTGGAGGTTTGATGTAACCACCTCCTATAATGGGCAAAAATGATCCTCACTCACTTCAATTATGAATGAGATGTGAAAGGGGATGATCGCTGGAGAAGAGCTGCCTGGCTCTCGCAAGCACAGCTGCCTTGAAATGTAATGGGATGAGGTCATCCTCACAGCCTCCGAGCAAGTCACTGCACTTGGGTCAGTGGTGAGAAGCATTAAGTCACCTCGCCTGGCAAGCTCCACACTGAAACCACCCCAGCCTTGTAGCATATGTAACCGGCACTGCTCTCCGCTCACAACTGCAGGGTGTCACACGGAGGCGTGCTGTCAGGATGTGGTTGTAAAGATACTGGGCTAAATTCCTTCCCCTTCCCCTTTTATTCTTGCTCTGGCATTGTTAATGATCTTGCAGATAACCATGTTTTATAAATCATTCATATACATATAGACAAATCGTATGCACTACTCATTCCAGAATTAAGGAATGATTTTCTGATTCCACTGGTTCAACCTCCAGGTATCTCCTCAGATTTCCAAGCTTTCTTTTCCTTGATTTCTTAACAGTGTCTTTTCTTCTCTTGGTCCTCTGTCACCAGCAATTCAAGGTAAGTCAGAATCTCGCTCTGACTCCTGACAAAGAAGGGCGGGAGACACGAGTGTGTCTACAATTATACTCAGAACTGTACGAGCGGGGCGCCTGGGTGACTCAGGCGTTGTTAAGCATCTGCCTTTGGCTCAGGTCATGGTCCAGGGTCCTGGGATGGAGCCCCAGATCGGGCTCCCTGCTCAGCGGGAAGCCTGCTTCTCCCTCTCCCACTCCCCCTGCTTGTGTTCCCTCTCTTGCTGTGTCTGTCAAATAAAGAAATAAAATCTTAAAAAAAAAAAGAACTGTAAGAGCAGAACTAAAATCTCCTTGAGGTGAGGTAGGCTTGAGGGGTTTCAGAACCACTGTTTAAGGAAAGGAAAAACAAAACCAAACCCAAGTTCGTTTTCTTTTATTTTAAGACTAAACACCAAAACCGCCTACACGGAATACCGATGGAGAGGCTGAAAAGCAGGTTAGTGGGGAGGCAGCCCTGCGAAAACACGAAAGAACAGATTGCAGCTCTTTTGGGGCATTACCCATGGCCTACTTATTTGGGTAAAGGCAACTACGATGTCACGGAGAGAGCTAGAACTCAGGACACCTGGGTCCCCCTCCCTCTGCCACTAGCCAGTTGGGTGACTTTAGACAATTTGTTTAATCTGTAAAATGGAGATGAATGAAACATACACACACACACACAAACACACACAACAAACCCTTACCCATCTCAGAGCAATGCTATAAAAATCCCAAGGAATCATGTCCTCAGAGATAATTTGGAAAAGAGGAAATATTTTTCAGATGCAAAGAACAATGCCCATTTGAAATATTTAGGAGAATGAGTCATTTTGGAGTTTACCAGAGGGCTTTAAAATATTATACACTTTAAATTTTTAAATCGTTACTGGAAAAAATTTTTTTTTAAAAGATTTTATTTATTTGAGAGAGAGCAAGCAAGTGTGAGTGGGGGTGGGGCAGAGGGCAAGGAAGAAGCAGACTCCTTGCCGAGTCAGGGCTCGATCCCAGGACCCCGAGATCATGACCTGAGCCGAAGGCAGACGCTTAACCGACTGAGCCACCCACGCGCCCCAGTTGCTGGAAAAATTTCTAAAGTATACAACGCCCTTCCTTGTCTGTAAACAGGTCCCTACTATCACCAGCTGTGACTGGCTGTGATAGATAGAGCCCTGTTAATGCCTGCCATGAGCCCTCCACCCCGGCCACCCGTGCTTGCTGGCCTCTCAGATGTGTGCACCTCAGGACAGAGGCACTCCTGGAGACCCACGGGACTGCTGAGCTTCTGCAGACCTGCCGGGCACAATTCTCAGCGTCTGTCTGATCTTGTCTTCTGCCCCTGCCTATGTTGATTGCAGATGTGCCTTCCAGAGGCTGGTTTTCACACGGTCAGGCTACTGACTGCTATCTCACCATGCTCTGCCCTTGACCAGGTAGTCACTCGAGGTACTGGACTTTGAGTTCCTGTTACATTGGCTCTGGAATCCAACCTCAGCTCAACCTCACTAATCCTCAATTATCCTGAATAGAAAAGTCCATCAGCTACAAGACCTAGGATAGAACAGGTGTGCTTTCAGCTTTGCACATGGTGCCTTCAAAGTGTTCTTTCTGTCCCTCTGAAACAAATAATACATTATATGTTAAAAAAAAAAAAAGAAGAAGAAGAAGAAGATAGCAGGAGGGGGGAGATGAACCATGAGAGACGATGGACTCTGAGAAACAAACTGAGGGTTCTAGAGGGGAGGGGGGTGGGAGGATGGCTTAGCCTGGTGATGGATATTAAAGAGGGCACGTACTGCATGGAGAACTGGGTGTTATACGCGAACAATGAATCATGGAACACTACATCAAAAACTAATGATGTAATGTACAGTGACTAACATAACATAATAAAAAAAAAGTGTTCTTTCTGTACATATTCACGTAAGCACACCCACCCACCCACACATGCAGGGTAAAAATGGTGTATATGCATGCATATACTCATTCAACAAACATTTACTCATACTTCCAGTTGTCATGGATAGAATACAAAGACATTATGGCTAATTCCCAACTTTTTCTTTTAAATATATACTTTTGAAGATTTTATTTATTCATTTTTAGACAGAGAGAGAGAGAGCACAGGGGGCAGAAGAGAGGCAGAAGGAGAGGAAGAGGAAGAGGAGAGCGTGGAGCCCGACACATAGGACTCCATCCCATGACCCCGAGATCATGACCTAAGACAAGATCAATTGGATGTAACCAACTCCGCCACCCAGGCGCCCCTCCCATCTTTAAGTAGGCCGGCTGAGCACTCTTGTACCGAATTTCAGATTTACAAAAACATTGTTTCCCCACCTCCTGCCTTCTCTGCTGTCCCAGGACCTGCTGTGTCCCACCCCGTTGCACTGTCCATCATTTGCAGGATCTCTATCTCCTACCACCTAACACCATTTGCACCATTGGCTCTTCCACTTCTTGCTGCCCAGAATGTAAATCCCCACATTTCTATCTTCCATTGCTACCACTGCCCCCCACTGATGCTGCCTGTGTGGTTTCCATCCAGCTCTCCATCTCCTGTTGCTTCTCCCATACTTCTGAGGGTCGCATAAAAAGACTAGGCTTCTAGAGCTATCCTGAGCCACCCACTGCTCCCACGTATAGGAAAGGAGCCGATACGGCATATCTGCACAGCTTTAGGTCTTGCAACCCTTTCAGCGTACCCGGTGCCTTGAGCCTACTTCTGTACTCCCGAACCGGTTTTGGAGGTTTCTTCTGGCTCTATCTACATCTAAGACATCAAAGTTCCAGAAGACTGCACTCTAGATAAGGAAGGACGTTGTGTACCATTATATGAAACCATTATCACCATATTTGAGAAGAGAAAAAAGACACAAACGCCCTCAGCCAATGGTAGTTTCAGGAATTACCTATGGATACTTACCTATACCCAACAATACTTTCTAGGGCAAGTAATGAAATGTACCTTCTACGACAAAAACACCACACTCTCTGAACACTTTCCTAAATGTTCCAGGTTCTGGGGACTAGAAGTATGATCAATACCGACAAAGCAGAGCTGGATTCCCTGACCCAGCAGACAAGACAAAGTCTGAAGATGCCACTCTTGTAAAAATTATTTGTGAAATCACGTGTCCATTTCTGTACACTTCTCACTCCAGACCAAAGAGTCCACATTACCTCTCAGAGATCACAGAGCAAATGTCCTGCTGTTTGAGACCCACTGTTGCTTTGCTGGACCACTCTTCAGGAATGAGCTAAACTCCAAAGGAAAAATGATGGAATCCTAAATGTTCCTTATAAATAGCGCTTTCCTTTCTTAAGACACTAAATACAAGTGCTGCAATATTTAAGATCTTGGAAGTTTTCTTTGGTTATTTTTTAAGGTGAGGTAACACGGAGCTCTTGTGCTGTGAATAGGGACTGGTCTATTTACTCAGCAGTTTTTTTGTTTTGTTTTTTTAAGATTTTATTTATTTATTTGACAGAGAGACACAGCGAGAGAGGGAACACAAGCAGGGGTAGTGGGAGAGGGAGAAGCAGGCTTCCCGCTGAGCGGGGAGGCCGATGCGGGGCTCGATCCCAGGACCCTGGGATCATGACCTAAGCCGAAGGCAGCCGCTTAACGGCGCCCCCACTCAGCAGTTTGAACAGAAGGTGTTAGATGCTCAGAACAAGAAAGGAAGGGCTTGGCTGTCCATTTTCTGGAAAGGCTTCATTTACAGAGATACAGCAGGAAAAACAAGCTGACCTAACTGTGCAATCAGCTGGCACAACAAAGAAAGCCAGTCTTGGGAAAGAGAATCCTCCAGAAAATCCAAGTTAATCCAGGTTAAAGCATTCTGCTGTGGTAAAAACTAGATCAACACCTGATGGGCTTAAGGTTACTTAGAAATTAATTTTAGAAAAATGGGAATCTTTTATCTTTCGGAGTGGTGGTTTTTGTTTTGTTTTGAAGAATACTAGCCACAGGCTCTGTGCATATATCTAGGCAAAATTTGAACATTCTTTA